CCAGTATAGACCAGTATAAACCGGTACCGCTGCTGGTCTCCTGGGGGGTGGCGTCAACGATCTGCCACCCGTCGTAGCCATCGGGGAGGTCGGGGCGCTTCATCCAGCAGTCGTTCCACACGTGGAAGTTCCTGCGCGGCCCAGTATAAACCAGTATGGACCAGCACAGACCCACGTGCGGAGCCGTAGACCAGTACATACCAATTTAAACCAATACGCACCAAAATGGCCGAGGACGAGCCTCCTGGCCCCTACCTCGGCTGTTCTCACCTCCCGCTCCCCCCCAGCCCCCAAACCACCTCCTGGCACCCTCTTCCAATGACTTCTGCCCCAAACCAGTATAAACCAGTATAAACCAGTATAAAGCGGTACCAGACGGAGTCGGTGTTGAGGCGCTCCAGGGGCCGCATGTTCTCGTCGAAGTAGATGTCGGTGGTGAGGGAGACGTCGGTGTCGTGGGCCGAGTTGTAGTTGGTGACCGTGCGGGTGGGGAGGCCCAGGCACCGCAGCACTGGGGGCACCAGTACAAACCAGTACAAACCCTTATCAAAGCCTCTTGCTCGGGGTTGACTTGTCTCCCTGTGGGGCGTTCCCATCTGCCTTCCAGTGGTTCTTGGGGCACCCTGGACCCCCTCCCGGTACAAACCAGTCTCTAACTGGGTTAAACCAGTATAAACCAGTACCAAAAACACTACTTAGGCTTCGCTTTTCCCCATACTAGAGGCTCCAGCCTGCCGTCGCGTGCCTCCCAGGAGCTCCCCAAGCACCCCAGAGCACCTCCCAGTATCAACCTGCGCCAGACCAGTATCAACCAGTATAGACCAGTAGGAAATTTAACACCTTATGCCCAACTTCCCTCCCTTACAGTGACCCCATCCACTTTCTAGCAGCTCCTGGAGGCGTCCAGCCCTTCCCACACCCCTCTCCAGTCTACACCAGGGCCGGACCAGTATGAACCAGTGACGTACCGGTGGTCATGACTCCGGCAAAGACCCAGCACTGGCCGTAGCGGACTGGGGCACCGGTGCCGTGGTAGGCGCGGAGGATGTCGACGGAACCGGCCCAAGCCGAGGGGTTGGTGCCCTGGGCGTAGTCCCCCGTCA